TTTATATTTTAGTATCAATTAAGGGTTAATTTGTTTAGACAAAACATGAAAAATCACAAAATTAGTTCACTTTTGCATTTTAATGATTTTTATTGTGAATTTGTCATGAAATAGTTTTTTTTAAACAATTTTAGGAATTAATTAGTCTTTGTTTTGAAATAATTAGGATTTCATGTTAGTTTTACATCTTTATAATAATTAGAAAAATTATAAAAAAATTTAAAAATGAGAAAAAGGAAATAAAAGAGAAAAGAAAATAAGAGTAGGATAATCTGGGCCAATTCCGTTCTTAAAACCCCCAGCCCAAACGGATCCCAGCCCAAAATCAATACCCATTCCAACCCCAGCCCAAATCACCCCTCCTTTCCCATGACCCGACCCGTCCATCAGTCAAACCCACAGACCCCTAATCCCAAAACCCACCCCTCTGTAACTGTTCTTCTTCTTTGAAGTACACGCGAGTCAGGTCTCAAATCCGTCCCAATAAATCATCAAAATTCACGCGAGTGAGCATCAAGGCCTAACCCACGCGTCCCTCTACCTATCCTCTTGCTGTTGTTAACGGATTTTTTGAGGCCAAGATTCGTTTCTGTTCACTCGCTCGATTTTGAGAGGAGGCACGCGATTGGAAGGTCCTNTGGGTATTTGTCGAATCCACCCGTGTTGGTCCCGCCAGAACCAGAGAGGCCTTTGATTCTATATCTGGCAGTTTTGGATAATTCATTCGGTTGTGTAATGGGGCAGCACGATGTTACGGGCAGAAAGGAGCAGGCTATCTACTATCTCAACAAGAAGTTCACNAGGGATTCGTTTCATAAAAGGGCTCAATTCGATTCTTTGAAAAAAAAAAAAGGTTCGGAGGTTCGATTTCTAATTTCTATTTTGGTTTTCTGATTCTCGGCGTTTGTTTGATTGATACCGAAATCTCATTGTTTTGGATTTTTTTTAGTTTCAATCCCAGAAAATACAGAAAGGATCCCAGATTTCTATTTCTCTTCGTTAGAGTATAAACAAAATGAAACAAAAATAAAAAAAGAGTTTCGATTTCTTCGCATATCGTCTCTGGTTTAATCGTGCGTGTGATGGAGTTGGTTTACAAATGGAGATCGTTTGAGAATTGCTGAGTTCGTCGCTGTCTAAATTTCTAATTGCTGCTCGCCTTTGCTATTGATTTGGCTGTGTTTCGAACCTTCTGTTATTTTACTGCTGAAAGTTTGGAGTCGAAATCGTGTAATGTCCTTCGATTCTGTTATCAAACGAAGTTCGAAATTTCAGGTTCAATCTTCATCTCTCTGTTCTTGCGATTCTGTTTTGTTTTAGTGCTTTGAACTATGTGTTTCTGTCTCGAGTGCTATGTTTGTGCTGGGATCGAATCTCGTGTTGAATGAATTCATTCTCAGTAGTATGATGTATTTGAGTATTTTCAATTAGTAGAAGTTGATTTGAATAGTCGTCTTTCATTCCCTACATGTCTTGACGGTTATTAAAGCTTAAAGAATATTCTGAATCAAGTGTCGTCGACTTCAAATGAACAATGTGTTCATGTTTATTCCGGTTCTGTTTAGTTTAGTTTACATATGAATTGAACTCTGAAATTGTCTGCCCTGCAATTCTGGTACGAATCTGATCGTTTTGACAAATGCGTTTGATCAAAGTCAGATTTGATTCTTGGTCGTTTGAGTTAGTGAAACACGTCATTTGCTATTAGAATCAGTTTGATTAGCTATTTGATAAAGAAACTTATTATTGTTCAAATGATCCATAGTTTAGTAATGGGTTCTTTAGAGCTTGTTGTAAGTGTTTGGGTTCAGTTTGCTCGTATAAGCTCGAGACGAGTTCCATAAGCATTGTTTGATATGTCTATTTCCTTTCATCCTGTCATCCTTCCAGAATAGGATTATATTCTTTGGGTTCTTCTTTTCAGTTTTAAGTTTTGTTGATATATGCTACTGATTTAGCTAAAGACCAGCTTGAACTCGTGTTAGTTTCGCGTTAAGTGATTTTTTCAATGGTCCAGGTCTGTTTGTTTCAATTGTTTGGACTTAAAATTTAAGTTTGAGGTTCAGTTGTGTGAGTTGTTCTTCGGTGGTTCTGTTTTGCTAAGCTACAGCTTTCCTCTCGCCTTTCTTTGGCTATTCAAATTTGTCTCGAATGATGTTTAGAGGCATTTATCTCAATCTCGAAATGTAAATGTTGTTCAGGCATCCATGTGCTATGAATTTGCTGAAATTTGTTCGTGTATACATGGTGGAGTTTGTTCTCTGATGTTTTCTGTTGTTCATGGTATGGTTTTGTTGATTTTAGTTTTAGTTTCAACGCAAAATTGGATATGGTCTACGTTAATATCGATTCATGTTTATTCACTGATGAATCCGTTTGGTATTGTTGTTTGCATATTGATTAATTTGATCCATTGGCCCACTGCATCTTAAGGTACATGAATTGCTTTTTTTTTTCTTTTCAGATATTTATTGTGTCTTCTCTGTTAGGATTAAAATGGTATGCTTGATTTTAGAGCAGCTGGTTTGTTTTTGGATCTCATTATCTGTAGCTAGAATGTTTTTACCTGTGGCTCAACTTTTTTTTTTACGAATTCAAAATATATAAAGGGGAATCCTGATTTGTTACCCTACAGTTTCCGTTCGTCTTATTAGTATTAATTAATACCTCGTTTCGTGCTTGCCAATGGTTAGAGGTAATAGGCTAGAGACAATCTGTTCGTAAAATGCTTGGGCAATTCCGTATGATTGGAAGTAATTTTCTTTTTAATATGGTTTCCCACCATTTCAGCTTCTATAAATCATGCTTTACGATAAATTTCAAAGCAAAAGAGAAGAACAATTCATGAACATTCATAGGCTGCTTTAATTGGGTACAACCCTTTGGGACAATTTGAGGTGTGCCATGTCGAACAGAAGGACAATTGCATGGCCCTCACTTAATTAATTTTATTCCTTTAGAAATCGAGGTGTGCCATTTAGTTGAAATTCCATGGCCCTCGCAAAGTGCAAACGCGTAGTTGCTTTAAACGCGCTCTTAATAAAATTACCTTCCTGAACTCGGGTGCGCATTGATGCGACCCAAATCCAAATCTCGATGAAGTCGAAATGTGTTGACAATCACGGGCACATTGATTGCGACGGGGTTCGAAACGCGTTTTCACGACATCGTAATTCTTTAAAATAAAAGCGGTTTACAAATAAAACGCACATAAGCTAGCAGGTATTAAAATCAGATAAAATCAAATACAATAGTTAAGCGACCGTGCTAGAACCACGGAACCCGGGAATGCCTAACACCTTCTCCCGGGTTAACAGAATTCCTTACTCGGATTTCTGGTTCGCGGACTGTTAACAGAGTCATAAATTTCCTCGGTTCGAGATACAACCGGTGACTTAGGACACCATTAATCTCTCAAGTGGCGACTCTGAATAATTAATAATTAAATCCCGTTCCGATTGTCCTTTAAATGGAAAAACTCCTTTACGCCCTTATGGGTGTAGGTGAAAAAGGAGGTGTGACACATATCATCTTGTAAGCTAATCTTGGGTTGGCTCTTCTTCGCACGTAATCCCATGCAGACTTTACTGTAAAATGTCCCCTTGTTTGAAGCATCCAGAAAGGAGTATCTAACTGTGAACTTTCAGTTGGTGGTCTAATATTCGGCACAATGTGGTGTGCCAAACCTTCAGGTAGGCTCTCAAACATTTTATCCACATTCCACATACCATTTTCAACCATATCATTGACATTATGAATATCCTCATCGATACCAAAATCTGCCGGTACTTGAAAATATAAGGCTCCTATCTTAGTCCAATTGTCGAACCAGAATAGAGCTGATCCCATTCTCAGTTTCCATTAGATTTGATGCTCAATCAAGTCCCTACATTCTAGCATTTTTCTCCACGTGTGGGATCCACCCTTCCAAGGTACAATTATTGCATTTAGTTTCTTGCAGTACTTTTGACTAATAAATGCACTCCACAAACTGGGTTTTGTCCTGAAATTCCACCACAATTTGCAGAACAGTGCCTTGGATACATCATGTAGGGACCTGAAACCTATGCCTCCCTCCTCATAAGGCATACAAAGGTTAGTCCAAGATGCCCAATGTCTAGTGCTGCCTCCCACATTGCTGCTCCAGAAAAACTTGGCAAAAATGCTATGTAATTTGTTGATCACATAACTTGGTGGATTCACTGGTGACAACATATGAATTGGGATACTCTGCAGGACATTTGCGATCAAAACCACTCTGCCTCCTACAGATAGGATTTTGCCTTTCCATGACTGCATTTTGTCCATAGCCTTGGTGATTAATCCTTGGTAATAGTCTCCCCTTCTTCTTGCATAAAAAATAGGACAGCCAAGATAGGTCATAGGGAAACNATTTGGACCTGCTTTTATTCTCAACTTGATATCCGTAATAATTTCTTGAGTTAACAGCACGTTCTCAACTATGCTTTTGCCCTTCACAAAACCTGCCTGTTCCTCCGAGATTATGTTTGGTAATAATTCAACCAACCTCTCATTAATAACCCTAGAGAAAATCTTGTTAACAAAGTTGCTAAGACTGATTGGTCTCATGTCCGCAAAGGTCGTAACTTCTTTTTTCTTTGGTAATAAAACTAGGTTTGTGTGCGTCACACTCTTTGGCAAATGCTAACCGCAAAAGAATGCCTTGACCATGCGGACTACATCTTCTTCAAAAATTTCCCAGCATATTTGGTAAAAGGCTCCAGTGAATCCATCCGGTCCACCAGCTGAGTCCCCATTCAACCCCATAACTGCTCTCTTCACTTATTCATTGGAAGGCAAGGCCATCAATCTTTCATGTTGATCACTATCTACCATTGAAGGTACATGATTTAAAATGTCAAAATCATTTGGAACTGCAGTCTCAGTAAATTGATCCTTGTAGAACTTTATTGCTTCTTCTGCTATTAAGTGATCTTCTTCGATCCAGTTACCAAGGCTATTCTGGATCCTTGATAATTTCAGTCTCTTCCTTCTCCCATTAACTTGAGCGTGGAGAATTTAGTGTTTCTATCGCCATCTTTGAACCATGACATGCTAGCTTTTTGTCTCCAGAATTCTTCTTCTAATGCAAGATATTTAATCATTTCAGCTTGGACCCGTTTTAATCTTTGTCTATTCATCTGTGTAGGATTGACTTCATATTGTCTTTCATGAACCAAGACCACCTCCTCAAGGCTTGCAATCTTCTGGAATATATCCCCATATGTAGCTCTGCTCCAGGTAGATAGTGCTTGTTTAAGATTCTTTAACTTGTAGTTAAAAATTCATAAAGGGTTAGCACTAAAATCAGCATTCCAATTCTCTTTTACTACATCTTTGAAGGTTTCATGCTTTGTCTAGAAGTTAATAAATTTGAATGACTTCTTAATTGGAGGAGTTTCTATATCACATTTCAGCAGCATTGGGCAATGATCAGACCCAATTTTGGATAGGTGAGTTATCTCCAATCCAGGAAATGTCTGTTGCAATTCATTATTGCCAAAACATCTGTCCAATCTTTTAAAAATGCAGTCCTCCTCTGATCTTCCATTCCACCATGTAAATATGCTTCCTTTAAAACCCAAGTCTGTCAAATTGCAGGTATTGATGCAGTGTCTGAAGTCATCTACTTCAATGAGAGAAACTAGCAAGCCCCCATATTTATCTTCCTCATCCCATATCACATTAAAGTTGCCTCCAACTAGCCAAGGTACCGTCATATCTGATGCCATTCCATACAACGTATCCCATAGTTCTATTCTTTCAGTGCGATCACATTTGGCATAGACTAGTGTAAGGATGAGCTCAACATGTGTTTCAGAGTGCATTAATCTCAAAGTCAGCTGTTGAGTCATGTTATATAAAATAGTAACCTCAAAAATGTCATCAATAAAAGCCCAAATCTTGTGTGACACATTCACCACAGCCTGTGCCAAACCAATTCTTGCTCTATACCTCTCCATTTTGTGAGACTGTTGCATAGGCTCAAGGATTCCTATGAACTCAAAATGATGTTTTCTATGCATTGTAATCAGCCTTTCAAATGCTTGCATTGTGTTTACTGACCTGACATTCCATATAATGGCATCCATTAAATGTTTTGGGATTTGGACAGTGTTCTCGTTGTTTGTACTCCACTAATTGGGACAGTAGAAGTCTCTTTTGACTGTTTCTTTTTTCGCTTTGCTGCAGATTTTACTTGTTCAATTAGTCTTGGCGTCAGATCTCCCTGCTTGGCAACATTAAGGAAATTTTGTATAGTGGATTCCTCATCCATGTCTCCACCTTTACGTTCTGCGTTGTTAACTTGATCATGTGCTTCTACTTCTTCTTTTAATGTAACAATATCCTCTGCCTGGTTGATAAGTTCAGCATCTTTTGCAGCATGTTCATTGGTCAACAACATTGTATTGTTCAGTGGAACGTTACTTCCTGCTACATCCTGCACGGTGCTTAATGGAACAGTACTTCTTGCATAAAACTGCACTGTCATAGTTCGGTTCTTGTCTGCATTCTTGTCTTGTTTCTTGTCTGCATTTTCAGCTTCTTTCAAGACTTTACTAACAACATTATGTGAAGTCCCTCCTGGATCTATAGTATTAATGTTCCCCTCTTTTGTCTTTTCTGTTGCTGCATTTGTGCATTCGCTGATGCTTTGAATATTGATTGCATTGACATTACAATTAAAACTTTGATCCTCATCTTCCACTTCATTTCCTCCAAATTCTTCATTACTATGCATTGTATCTGGAATCTAACCATCTGCTAGGTCTTCCTCTATTTGGTTTAGCCATAGTCTCCCTCCTGCCCATTTTTCTTTTTCATTGGTCATGAATTTCTCAAAATCTGTATCTTCAACAAATTCATTTTCTTTGTTGTTTGCTAATTGTTGTTCAACTTTGGTGTCCTTTGAAGGAATGTCTTGACATGAAGTATTGACTTGAACAACATTATTTTTGAATGCTTTTTGGAACCAAAGGGCAGTTGACTCATTGTGAAAATGCTGCTCATTCCCAAAATCTTTTTGTACACAATGAGTTGTTGCTTCCCTATTTGCTGCATGATTTTTTATTGCTGTAGGATTGAAAGTAGGTGCTGCAGGGTTCAGTTTCTTGGGTTGTGTCTTGGATGATTGTTTCCTATATGAGCTAGGAGAAGTTACCTTTTGTACTATTTGTCTAGTTGAAAAATCAAATTCCTGCTCCTCAGACTCATTCTCTACACCTACCATGGAATTATTTTGCTGAATGTTGTTGCTTGTGGTTTTTTGAACTGGAGTTTCTTCCACAGTTGCCAATTGGTAACCTTCATTGATCTCACCATTTTCAATTTCTAGCACTACAAATTGGTTGGTTGTTTGTATTTGTTTTGTCACAGCTGTATTGTTAAGAAGAACTATTTCTTTCCCTTCTGCATTAGTACCTTCAGATTGTTTGCCTTTGTTTAGTCCCCTATTGTCTCGAACTTCCTTCCATCGAGGACCTGCATTACCAACTACCTTACCACTAGTAAGGATCATCAAAGGAGCATCATTTTTTGCCGGTTTCTTAGTGCCTTGTTTCACATTTTCGACATTTTCCTGCTGCTGGACATTTTTGCTTTCCCTTAAATCAGGATTAATTCTCCAATATTCAAGCATGTCATGGACTTGTAACTTGCACTCTTTACAGTACTTTGGAAAATAATCATAGTTAATGGTTACCCATTCAGTTCTAACATCCCCATTTACTTCATTGACAATGTCCATCCGAACGTTCTTGGGGAGGTCAGCTAGCAGATCCACCAACACTTTAACACGAGCACAACTAGGTCTAGTTCTCTTGACAGTAGCCAAATCCAAGTGAAGGGGTTTACCTACAACAGAAGCTAGAGAGAACAAGCATTCTCTGACAAAATAGGTAGGCAGCAAATTAGGGAATGAAATCCAAGCCATTACCTTAGGTGTCTCCTCTCCAACTTTAAATTTTGCATCATAGATCAAAGTTCTTAGTTGATATTCATCCCCATGCTTATCCTTAACATAGTACACACCTTTTGACGAGAAATATACGTAATCTTGCCATAATGAAAATTGAATCAAAATGTGCCTGTCACGAAGATATCCAATGTTGCAATCAGCTTTGATACCACATTGCATAGGAACAATTCGACGTATTTCATTGATTTCTGGCCATCCGTATGAAAATTTGCACACATCTGCCTGTTGCAGTCCTTCAATATAGTTCATACATTCAACTTCTGATTCTGTAAAGCATACTGTTGGTTGTCCTTGAAAGAGTTGGGCTTGTCTGGGGGGATTGGATAAACTACTGCTGCTCGATCTTGCATTGTCGAAGTACTAGTCGTGGGTTTTACAGCATTTGCATAATCCATAGTTTTTGGAACTTTTATTGTTGTCTCGTGCATGGCTGGGTGATGTTAAGGGGAGGCTGGGGAGGTGTCCCAGCGTTTGCGGGTAGCTGGCCACTGGCCATAGTGGCCATGGCAACACTCCGTGAAGGATCTTCCAACTGTAAAGTTTTTTTTAAAAACTTGAGACAACATAGATCAAAACTCTTTCGCGTCAACACTCTCTTTCACCTATGAAAACTCTTTTCCACGTTAATACTTATGACAAGAAAAGCACAATTTTTGCTAATTTGATGCTACAGTAACTCTTCAAAGCAAAATAAGATCTGTTTTTAATCTGTTGTTGATTTAGCTTCAGAACTTAGAATCACCCTTAAAAACAAACCATCCAAGCTTCACGTTAAATAAGCAGTAGCTATCGCTGGCAGAAATGTTGAAATTGGCTAATGGGAGGTTGTTGCTACAGTAACTCTTAAAAG